TTAAGTAGGAGTGAAGGGATTAAGAAAATCGGCCACCTCGGAGTTCAGTGCGGTGGACTGAGGACCAAGGGCTCCGTTGCATAGACCAAGGGACTCGGTGCCTGTGAGAACCTTCTCAAGAGGAAAACTTGGCTGACCAGAGGAGGAAGGGGATGGAGAAGGTCAGAATCGCTGATCCATCTGGTTTTATACATGTTCCTTAGTTTTGGTGCAGACTTGTCCGGTGCTTTGGGAACAACAAGGGAATAAAGTATGCAACCCTCACAACGTTCTCATAATACAGCCAGGGAACTCTGGCTTCAAATGTCTGCGGAAAGGCAGATATATGTTATAAGCAATCACAGCACCAAGGGAGACTCCTCCTAATTAAAAACCAGATTTCTCTTTGGAGCAGTTACTCCTGTTGCTTCATTCGCTGTGGCTTACTACAGTGGTTTGATGGGATGGGAGCTGGGTCACCATGGAAACATAAGACTCAAACACTCCTTGGAGACCAGTTCTGAGAGCAGTAGAGTTCCAGAGAGCCACCGACTGCTCCACCTCTGGGCCCCATGGTGGCAATCATGGCAGGGCCACCTTCTCTATGAATTGTCCCCAATCAGTGACCTGATGCAGGGGAAGAGACAGAGCTGGCTCCATACCCACAATGCCACGCCCCTCTAGTAGGCGGCTTTCTCTGTGGGATGATCCACAAAAGTGCCTGATGCCTTCTTCTTACACTCAGTTCAAGGCTCTCTGTGCCTAGTCCTTCTCCTTCCTTCATCCATTCAAGATGCTAGAAACACCATGGGGTCTTCTTCCCTACACCGCAGTCTCCATTTTTCTGCCCCAGACATCCTGCACTGTATGTCAGCTTTCCTGTTGCTGGGACAAAATAGTGGTGCACCTTAAAGGAGGAGAGACTTAATTTGACTTATGCTTTTGGAGGATGTAGTCCATGGCTAGCTGGCTCCAAGGCAGGAACATCATGGCAGAAGGACAGTTAGAGAAAAGCTGCTCAACCATGGCAGCCAAGAAACGGCAAAGAAGGGAGGAGTTGGGGACCAAAATGCACCCTGTGCCTTCCAGGTCACACTTCCAACCAAGCCCCACTGCCTTACATCACATGCTGCTGAATTCAGCAGATCAATCCAAGGATGAGCGTGGACCCCAGGATCAACTCACTACCCAAAACCCACCTCTGAACATGTGAGATCTCTGGGACACTCTGCATCTACAGTAGAACATGCCCTCCCTCCCAGTCAGCTCTGGTGCATCTAATGTCCAATGTCTTGGTTTGTGACTACCATCTGATTCTTTGCTTACACAAAACGGAAGTTACCGAACTCTTACAAAAAATGATAGAAAATGTTAAATTTCATGTATTGTGCAGAAATATTCATCTTTTCAGATTCCTCTGTCCTCCTACTTGCTGTTTGCCTTTTTCTCTCCCTCTTCCAAGTTCTTTCCCAAACATTGTCTGAATTTTTATGGCAGATGAGAAAAAATGAGTTTGGATGACTGTTCTAGCAATATTTACAAGAAATGAACAGAGCTGAGCAAAAGCCAGCATGCAGAATCACTGCCTCTGTTCTGTAATAAAAATTGCTCCTCCTTTGACACCCGAGAAAGGGGATGTCTGCCTCAGGCTGAGCAGCCTGGTGAGGTGGATGAGTGTAGGAAGCTGTCCTACCCCATGAAGGAGCAGCGACTCCACATGTCAATGTCTGCTGCCATCTTAGGTTCCCAGGAGAAGAGACGTTTTGCTAGTTACAGGAATTATGTCCTATTTCATTTCTTTTTAAGGAAAGATACTAAAATGTTCACAGGAAAAGTAAAATAAGCAAAGTTCACAGAGCTTACATTTGAAGGCTCCTAGGTAGCTGCTCTCTTCTGGCTCTTCAAGAGGAAGTTAGCGACTAGTCAACCACAAGTTCTTTTTTCTTAAACATTGTTTTGTCAAGTGTCTTTTCACCCCTCCCCAAGACAGGAGTCAGTAGCAATCATAAAAAAGAGATAACAAATACAAAGGTCAGGTGTCTTCCTACACACGTGTGCACACACACATGCACACACATGAACTGTACATGGGGCTTCTGCACAGGACCTGTGACTGCTGTCCCTTTAGAATCACACACACCTGTTAACATGGTGAACGCAGACCACTGTCTGGAAGTAACGCAGAGGACATCCAGCACTGCCTGCTCTATGCACACAGCAGCACTCCCACACACAAGAACATGTTCGCCTTGTGATGCCAAGACCTCTTTCCCTCCCCCCACCCCACCAGCACCTTTCCACACCATCTGAGACCGACCTGCAAGTCGGCCTTAAGCAGTTAGTACATTTTCATAGTTTGTAAAAGTAAGTTACGTGGCAGCTACTTTCAGTAAGTTAAGCACAAAACAGTAAGGGAGAAAAACCACACAGGAAGACACAAGCACAGCATGCTCTCGGGGGAGGGAGGTCAGGTGGCTAAGGACAGGACGGAGTGTTTAGCAGTGTGACTCCCGTTAGATGAGGAAGGGTTGGTCACCTCCTGGAGTGAGACCCCTCTTCCACAGGTGTCTTAAAAGAAGCCAAACTGCCCACAGGTGATTGCAGCACACGCAGCACCAGCTGGTAACCCCAATATCCAGCCAGCGCCCCAGATCTAGATCCCACCTGTTTGCTGAGGAGCTCCCCACCCAACTCCGGGGGTGGCCAGGCCAGGTCCTGCCTAGCTGGGCCAGTCAGGAGCTGCAGAAGCTCTGAGCGAGCTCCTGCAGCCCATTCCCGGGGGCTGCGGTGAACAGCACTCCATGTTTCACCACCGCCACTTCCCAGAGCAACTCTGTGTAGCCCAGCGCTCTGTTCTGTGCTTGGACCAGGACAGAAGCCTCCATTCACACGAGTGTGGAAGCCGAGTTGTCGTGAGGTGCTGGGTGCTGCGGTGGAGATGCAGAGTTGGGCACAGATCAGGAGCTTGGGGAACCCTCAGGTCACAGCCCAGCATCACCACAGCGCGTCACCATCAACTGGAGCATTTGTGGTAGGTTTAAAAGCACACTATGGGGCAATGAAGGAAATATTTCTGGAATTTTCTGTGGATAATTCATGGTACTTGTTCGGCACACCTGGTCTCAGCACTTCTTTAACCATTTTGATATTCAAGAGAAGTGTAGGTGATTCTTCACACACTTATCTTAAGGATATTGATATTACCAGCATAAGTGGAGTTACCTCCTAATCACTCCTATCTGCAAAAATTAAAATATTTTAGGACCTTTAAATAGAAAACTTTAAATTCTCCAAGTGTCTGTTTTATTTAAAATAGGTAATCATGGAAGGAAAGGAAAGGGAGGGGAAAAGGATTTTAAAAAGAGAGAATTGAAGGAAAAATAAGAATAGAGCTTTTTCCAATGGGAAGGAGGTAGAGAGTGGAGCGGGCAGGGCAGAGAGAGGGGAAGGGAAAAAAGGGAATTCAGAGGTGTGACACGCATGCGCTGACTCCCCCAGTGCGTGTAACCATCGTATGCCGCATACATGGGCTGACAAAAACACATCATTAATTAAAGTCAGTGACATGGATGTATTTTTAAAAGATGCAGGTTTAACTAAAAAGTAAACATTCAATAAATGTATTTTCTTAAACCTAGGTAACTCTAAACATTTTCGGCTATTCAGGCAATGAATATGTCTTGAGTATCTTATGTAAGATAACATGTTTAAAAAGAAAGAATTAGAGTATTATAAAACAGAATTGTAAAACTTTTCCCCAAAAAACCTAAAATATGCACATAATTTTGGCTTTTATTTATTTGTAGACAAAAAGCACTCCTTTCTCAACACTTACAAAACAGAATATAGACCCAGATAGTCACACATGGCCTACAAGCTGCGTAGGACTGTAAGCTCTAGTCCAGATGTTACGCTCTAAAAGCCTGTCTTCCAGTGCTTATGACAATATTAGCTACAGTGACGACACACAGAAATAATTTAGAAAATCTAATAGAAGAATTTTCTAATGAAGTGAGTATCATGCATGTCTTTAGATGTTTGCGTCCCTTAGGAATGAAGGAGTGGGAGCTTTGCAGGGCACATCCTTAAAGGGGCCAGGAAAGGAGCAAGGACAGGGCAGAGTCGCACAAGCCACGCAGCCCAGCAACCAGGACCACAGACTTGGGTCAGCGCAGCTGGACTGGAATGTCCACCCTGTCTCCTACCAACTCTGTGAAGGGAAGCTTTCTCAATGTCTTGTGATCGATTTTCTGATTTGTAAAATGAACGTCAAAATAGTACTTACCTGAGAGGCTGCTGTAAGGGTCAAATGAGTAATTAGATGGGAAATGCTTGTAACAATTTCTGACACAAGGTTGACCTTCGGGTAGTGCTTATTCATTTCCATATAGGATGGCTGGATTTATGTTAAAAGGCGGACTTGAGGACACAGAGCTGCCCGACCTGGATGAGCACGGATGTGGACGCAAGCACACAGAAAAAGCCTATGAACACCCGGGCCAGTGGGGCCCCAGGAGGTCATCAGGGCCATAAACAGGCTGCTTCTTAGTTTTGCGATTACAAATTAATTATTTTGATCTATCTATTATGTGTAATGCTACTCAACTGTGAAAGATGAGGGTGTAGATACGTTCAAGGAGCTACTGACGCAGAGAGGTCTAGGCACACGCCACTGAGTGGAAATGAGCAGAGGAAGACAGCATTAACTGTGTTAACACAGAGTTAAGTGTGTGTCGTTGTGTGACCTTATCTGCACATGGACTGATAATGTAGAAAGCCAGACTGCTTAGTGACCTCTACTTCCTTCTTTTTCACACATATTTAAGTTAGAGCTCTTTGCCAGCGGCATGCGTCACACTATTGTTAAAGAGAACAATATAAAAGGTTCCTCATGATGCAAACGTAAAGCAGCAGCTAACGACACGTCATGCAGTACCGTGGGTGGAGACATGTGCTGCGAGCCAGCCGAGGGCCGCTGGGCGTGCGAGGGGAGGGGCTGACAGGGCCGTGGCTGTACTCACCCCCCAAATGCCTGGAGCGCAGACAGTCCGGGTGCCTTCGACCCATTGCCGCTTACTATCCGAGCCTTAAATGAAGAACAAGAACAGAAAGGTTTTAGGCTGCTAGCGCTACAAAGAGGCGACCAGGGACACAGTCCAACTGCACCACACACGTAACACCTAGGATGACAGATGCTAAGCAGGGTCAGCTCCAAGTCAAAGCTGTGTTTTGTGAGTGGGGTTTTTGAGATCAGCTGTCAGCATTGGCACAAAAGCACTGGCAGAGTCCAGGAAAAGACATCGTATTGGAAATACTGTTTGCCCTTCAGACTTGGTATGTGCAGGGTAGACATGAATCAGTCAGGAAGTCATGACTTAGCCAGACTTGGGGACGGATGCTGCATTTGACAGTAGCAGACCCCTGGTAGGCAAGTGTAAGCTAGAGAAAGCGCAGCTGCAAGGTGTGACCTCGTATAATGCAAAGTAGTGGGCACACTCAAAGGGAAACCAAAGGATGGAAAGCCGGACGACATGCACATTTCACAACTAAAACAGAGAAACCAAAACAGGTCTAATGTGTCACAAACAAACATGTACAAAAGACAAGATCCCTCAGGAGGCAAGAAAAAGTATGATTTAAAACCTTTTCGTCCACAGAACTGCTATCTGAAAGAGAATCAGGAGAAGAAGGGATAAGTTAGATGGAGTGCTTTGTAAGGCAGCATTTAAACATACACATGAGCAAAGTGCTACTGTCACACTGTTAAAACCATAAACAAACCGTGTCAAGGCTGCACCCCAGGGAACACGGGTGCACATAGTTTAAAGAGCTGGGAAATGTGATCCAATACTTGAAAAGTCGACAGGGGTGATTTCTGGATTTAACAAAAGAAAATGAATCACTGTGGAAGAATCCAAACTGCTGGGCTCCAGGGTCTCTGGCATCTACCACGCCTGCTCTAGCAAGGGCATCAACATATGGGCCCCTACTTTGTTTTTTAAATGTTATAACACGTATAAGGATAAAAGGAAACGTCATTTCTCAAATACACTAACAACTATTATATATTTTATATGCAGCTCCAGACAGCCCCTCCTCACTCGGCGAGACCCAGGTGAGCGGGGAGCTCGGCCACGCCCGTGCTGACACAAACCACGGATACTCACCTCGCAGCGCGGTGAGGAGATCGGCCCAGTCTGTATTTGCAGAGGTGAAACTCATGATTATATGCGTTTATTGAGGGGTTATTTATGGCTTCTCATATCATAGTATTTAAGAGCTCAATATTAATTAAAGTGGTTGCATCTTTAACTATGACCTGACTAAACTTATAGAGCTGCTAAATGGCAGCAGTGAGATATAAGTCAGGCCTCTGCTCCTCCACTTCATGCTTTGTATTTATTTATTTTTCTGTTTTGCAGTACTGAGCCTCAAGCATTCGGCCCCTGAGCTATTTCTCTAGCCCTATTTGGTGTTTCAAGATCCAGTGTTTTAGGTGAATTACACAAAACAGCAAGCGTGGCTGGACCACAGTCCTTAGCGGATTTTAAGATAAACCACAGGGCCAGCGCTGTCCAGTTCCAACTGCTCGCGGCCCCATGAACGGACAGCAGACTGCTGTGTGCTGCGCTTATTAGCGCTGTGTAGCTGTCCTCAAACTCGGGTCTACATCTGCTGGGATCCTAAGGACAAAGTCTATTTTTATCTTAAGCGTGATGACTGCTCAGAGCACACTCAGCTCTGCCTATGAGCACGAAGCTGCAGGACACTGCTGCGGGTGAAATGTTGGCAGGACCCAGAGGTGGGCTGACCTTGGAGTTCAGCCCAACCGCCTGTGTTATACAGATGAACGCCAGAGAGATCATTTACCCAAGGTCATGCAGCTCAGGGGTGACCCTTACTGATGAAAATCTGAAGTGTCTTTGCTTTCTCCGTTCATAAAATACAGCTCAGTTATCATTACTAATACTTTGCTGCAGATTTCACAATATCTCACGGTTATAGCTTCAAGTATAAAACATGGCAAATATAAAGTAAAAAAGATGACTCATTTATGGGCATAAGTATTTAAGCTGTGTAGCAAATAAAGATTTTAAAAGTCATATAAAATATCTAAGAAGATGTTAACCCAAGGATGATTTAAGGTTATGCAACAACTAATGTCTTTCTTTTTTTAAAGCAGGGTCTCACTATGTAGCTCAGGTTGACCTTGAACTTACTGTGTAGGTCAGGGTGGCCCTGAATCTATGGCAATCTTCCTGTCTCAGCCTCACAAGTACTGGGATTACAGGTGTGCACCACCACATCTGGCCATGGAACAACTAATTTAACACATCAGTTGGTCAGAAGACATGCAGGTAAACTTCCGTAGGTTACCAAATGTCATTTGATAAAATTTCCATGTTCTTTTTTATTATTCTCTTAAAAAAAGAATGTACTTGAGAGAAATAAAAATATATGACCACACCAAAATAAATAAATAAATAAATAAATAAATAAAGATTTTAAAAAGTTCTTTAAAGTGGGATTGGAATGAGGGGCTGGGGATTTAGCTCAGCGGCAAAAGCGCCTGCCTGGCAAGCGCAAGGTCGTGAGTTCGGTTCCCGGTACCAGAGAAAAACCAAAAAAAAAAAATGTGGGATTGGAATGAGTCATCCTTAAATTTCCTGTAATGGAAACAATCTTCAGAGTCATAAACTGATTTGTGAAATAATGGGACATCTCCCTCATCAAGAGCAAAACAAAAACCTCAGCTACCATAATTTAAAATTATGCCTGGAAATTCTGGACAATATTTTAAACATGAATAAAAATAAAGAACTTAAATATTAGATGTCAGACTATAAAATTGCTATTACTTTCAGAAATTATAATTTTATATTCAGAAAACAAAATAAAATCATCTATAGGAATTCAACTACAAGATGAATAAAAGAGTGAACAAAGCAATAATCTAGTCAACATATAAACAAAATAATTATAATAAGAATGAAGTTACTTTTTGCCTATTAACAATAACTACTGTGGAAAACACAGAGATAAAATCTGCCTTTGAACTAGTCAGTGTTTGAATGAGTGATTCTGTTCCTTATTTCCCACTGATATCCGCCTTCTCAGGAAGGCCCTCAGCTACATTCAGGCACTAAACCAGTGGACACATTTTTCATCAACTCATTCGTTCATTCATTCATTCATTCATTCATTCATTCATTCATATTTATTATCAATGAATCCTGTGTATTTTCACTTCTTTCTTATTTCCCCCAAATACCCTTTTCCCAAATCCTCTAAGACTTAGTTATGGTAGATGAGTCACTTCCTGCTGTGTGACCACAGAGATCAAGGGGCCTTAGGGCCCCGAGGCCCCTGGCTCAGCACTCCTTCATGTCCTAACCCCCAGGCAGGTTCAGATCACTGCAGCTCGTCTCCGTGCTGCGCTCTTTGAAGCTTATGTGCCTTTCCTCTATTCCTTCTTCCTCTAACACAACTGTTCCCCTTTCCGCACCTCACTTGCTGCCTGTCACCCCCAAAGTGCACCTGCACCCCAGCCCCCCCGCTGGGAGCCTGTCACACAGGACCCCGGCACTGGAATCCAGCCATTCCCCACCACCAAGCCTCCCTGTGGCAGTTTCCTGTCTGCGATCCTCTTCCCACCTGAACCTCTCCGTATTAGCAGGTCCTTAATCTCATTTTCTCAGCTCCTTCCACATTCCTGAAAATACAGCAGATGACCAATGAGTGTTTTCTGAATATTGAATCAACAAGCAACAAGCTATACCACTCTATGGAAATACCTAAAATATGAATAAAGGAAAATATGATTTCATCTTCCTAATAGGGAGGGCACATTATTACCTAATAGGTTTAATAGATAAATTCTAATGGCAACTTTCTGCAACTGACATAATGCTAATTTCAAGTACAGCTGCATGATTATACAAGAGAAACTACCTAAGAGTTTTTAAAGGGTGCCTTAAAAAGACTGTCTATAAAGTATTAAAAATCTATGATACTTAAAACAATATGATCCTGGCAAAATAATAGATAAGAAGACGAGTGAAATACAAATATAATTAGTATACCCTCATACTTAAGAGCTCAGTGACTAGGAAAAGACACGTTTCTGTCCCAACCACTGACCCCATGGAAATACAAAAGCACAGAATGGTGCTTTGCCAGTGAGAGAAGTATCTGCTATATTCATCTGTGCTCTCAAATATGCCAAAGTTTCATATGTATGGAAGAGTTCAAAAAAAAAAACTAACTAGAGGAATAAAAATTAAGTAAAAAGAGAAAGGGATATTCATTAAAAACATGGAATGAGAAAAGATGAGCAAATTTAGAGATAATAGATAGTTCACAAATTGAAAAGTAATGATGGTAATTAATTGTGAAAATTATCCAATTTATTAAAATTGCCTAATCATGATTACAAAATTAACAAAGAATAGAATAAAGATAATCACTTTAATGGTACTAAAAACAATCCCAGAGTTTTGGAGGATATAAATCACACTGTTATGCATAGTTGATGGTACACTCCCAAGAACTAGAAAAATAGAACAAACTAAGCCCAAAGTTAGGGGAGAACAGAAGTAGTACAGATTAGAGCAGAAACATGTGAAGTGGAGACTTAGAAAAAATAGAAAAGACAAAACAGAAAGTTGATTCTTTGAAAAGCTAATTAAAATTCACAAATATTTAGCTAAGTAGATCAGCTTACAGAAAAAAAATGAGGCCTCAAATAAAATTCTAAATAAAAGAGGAGCCATTACAACTTATCCCATGAAAATACAAAGGGTCACACAGAATTTTGTGAACAACTGTATGCTAGATTTATATGTAAAACCTAGTAGAAATTAATAAATTAAGAATTATACATTCTATGATGACCAAAATAGGAGCAACAACAGGAATAATAAGTAAAAACACTAAAGAATTAATAAAAAAGCCTCACAAAACAGAAAAGTCCCAGGACTCGATGGCTTCTTAGGTGAATTCTAGCAAACACTAGAAAAGTTAACACCAATCTTTTGTAAACTCCTTCAAAAAACTTGAAGCTGAGGAACATCTCCACCCTCATCATACAAGGACAGCACTACCCTCACACCAAAAACAGATGTGGAAATTTTAAGAAAATTACTGGGCAATATCTCTGATGAATTTAGATGTGAAAAACAATGACAATAGAATACATGCAAGTCAAAATCAAGACAATGCCACACACAAGGACCACGTGTTGTTTATCCCTGGGATGCAAGGATGGTTCACTATACAAATAAATAAGTGTAACACATACCAACCTGAGTATCCTGGATAAAATGGAAGGGACAGGGAAATAATAGGATATAGGAAATAATAGGAAATAGGGAGCTAGATCATCTGCGAATGAGGAGGAAATGAAGAGATAGGGGGAGGGGAAGAAGGGAGAAGAAGAGGATGAAAGAGAACAAAAATGTGTTATGCGTGGGCCAGCTCCCTAGAGTGCATGTAGTCATTATGTGCTGCAAACACACAGCAATAAAAATAAAAATTGACACAAAATCACACACACATCTGAACAGGCAGGAGGATAACATCTGAAGAATCCACCGTACTTTCATGGTATAGACTCCCAGATTAGGTATAGAAGAAGCAGACCTCAACGTGATAAAAATGTTATAGG